GGGGGGGGAGTAACTCGTCTTTACTTAACTTGGTTTCCAAGGGACACAGAACAGATCAGAGATCAGCTCTCTCGCTAAAGCCGAAATTGGGATTATTCCCCCCCCCCCTACCCTTTTGCTTTCATATCAAAGCAGCTACCACTGCACGTTAGTCAAAGAGGGACCTCGGCCACTGGCCAGCTGGGCCACACATACACACACACACACACACACACACACAGCAACACCGTGCCGAACGCACTGCCGCCGTAGCGAATCCGGCTTCGTCAAAATAACGACGAAGCGTCCGCGATTTGCGTGCGTGCGTGTGCACGTGTGAGCGCGCGCGCATATCTCTCTCTCTCTCTCTCTCTCTCTCTCTCTCTCTCTCTGTTTGCCTACATGTGCTACTGCTGCTGCTGGAGGGATCGTCCAGAACATGGGTGTAACGAGAGCTAATCCCATTGCGGGTCCAGCGTCACGACGCGACACAGGCAGTCCCTATACTGCTGCTGCTGCTGGGAGAATAAATCTCCTTATAAAGTCAACCAACGCGCCGACCAACAAACAAGAGGCAAGCAGCGGCAAAGGATTTCACGAATCATCACAAATTCCCAGCCAAACGAGTTTCCTCTTAGCCGAAGGATATCATGAACTCGAATATTCAGCCCAATGAGAGAAGACGCGGGAATCGCCGCATTCAACCCGAAGTGCAAGTGTTCACGACACCATGCAAAGATCACACAAAGAAGCACGCATCACACCCTCCAATAAGTGGAGATGCCAAGTGGATTACGACACGCCCGCAAACGCGAATTCACCAGGCCCCCCAAAAAAGAGGGAAAGAATAAAACGCATAGTAAATCCTCAACGGCAACAATAAAGGACTGAGCGGACCTCACAGAGGACGGGGATAGACCTCGATTCATCGAACTCCCTCTCCCTCTCTCCCACATATTAAAAAGACAGACGTGCATTCTTTCCTCGCCTCGCGGCCTCGCGGGGCGGCCAAGAAGAAGCCCCCCTTATTGAATGGCCGCCCTCGCCGGCCGCCGCTGCCGCCTTGCTTGGCGCTAGCGCCTCCTTTTATATGGAAAACAGGCGTATGCCTTATTGCTTGCTTGAACGGAGGAACCGAGGGTACACACACAACGCACCCTTCATCGGAATGTCAGTCAGATTATTCGCACTCGCGAGCGTTATTGACACGGCGGTCAAAGCACATCATGCACAAGTCGCTACTTTCAACACACACACACCAAAAATACAAAATAAAATAAAAAGGCGTATATACAATACCATACTGCTGCTGTTATGATGGAGGAATTTACACATCAAAGTGAGCAGAAGCGAAGGAGAAGAGCTTGTTATGATACTGCCCTACTGGACTTGGCGGTGGACTCGTCACGGAAAATAAAATAAAAACAATACTAATAAAAAGAGTATAGGGGGATACACCAAAATAAAAATGAAAACGTTTGGGAGGAGCTCGAGGCCTGAAGCCGCGGGCGAGTCAACTGCTTGTCCAAAGCGTGCGCACGCCAAGCCCACCAACACAAAACAAAACAAGATGGCGTGTCAGCCTACCTTGGTCGATCAAGAGGCAACGGCTTTTGGCGATGCTCGCCTGGACGCTGGCGAAGCGGTAGGGCGGGCCCAGGCCCAGGCCGAGTCCGAACCCAAACGCTTCGGGCCCGCAGCGACCCAGTGGTCCGACTACACAGAGAACACAGAGCGCGCTCTAAGCACAAGCACAAGCACCTAGAGGAACAAACACAGCCCTTTCTAGCTTTGCTCGCAGATTCGCACAGAAAAAAGTATCAGCTATGAATATTACCACGCCATAGGCTCAGATACCACCGTAAAATATTTTGCAGACAACAATCAGCAAGTGGGTGAAATCATATTTAGGGATCATCTCACAAACCTATGATTGTTGCACAAGCCATACTTTATGGTATTTCTGAACTACACTGATAAATGAAGTGTTCAACTTTCAAGCACCTTTAGATATTAAGCACTGTGTTTAACACTAGTACTGTATACGACTGGAAATGTGAATGTAAGCAAGAGTCAGCCAAAATTAGAACACTCAAAAGTGCATAAACTACACGCTTAACACCGTAGTTATGCATACAAAAGAGTTCATCTTTAGGGTATATGACACTTGAAAACATGCAATTTCCCAGCCAAGTACATAATAGTATCCAAGACGGTGCTGTACACATTTCGGTTCGCCAGTTAGACACTTGAGATATCAGTGTGCCAGCACGACAGTCGTTGCCACAGCTTTGCACTTTTCTAGGTGTCTTTTTGCTCTGTTAGAGCACAGGCGGAAAAGATTGTCGGTAGAGGGGAGGCGGGGGACATAAGCAATTCAAAGAACATATCTAGCCTTTGAACTTAAGTCCACAGGAGCTCTGGGTTCCTGAGAGTATCCCTGAGACGACCTCGATCCTGCCTAACCCAATTATTGAAACTTTGACATGAACCAAAGTTGGCTTAATATCTCTCTAGCAGATACGCCATAACCCTCTCGGAGCTGGCGCTGGCCGGTTCGGTCGGCAGGTGCTGCTGTCCACATCCGGCCGTGCCATCCGCACCAATGATGTGTGTTATGACGCCGAATACATGAATACAAAGCAGGTCACATAGACAAGTACCTGCGGTACCAGTACACGCTCCCCGGCATCCCGGAGCCGTAACTCGGCACTCCTACATCCCCCAGCCACGTGAAAACGCGAATAAACGCGCGAAGGGAAACATCTCGAAACTCACCCGTTCTAAAACATTGTCGAATGGTGGTATCCCTAACAAACTCCCAAAGATAAATGAAATGTTAGGCGTTACAGCGGCTAAAATCCTGAACACTTTTTCAAGGCAACTTGTTTATCAAGGTCTAGTCGAATCCATTGCGATTCAAGAGCTATTTTCATTTCTAAAGAACACATTGCTGTTATGTTTTCTACAAAGTCTCGCTGCAAGGAGACGTTTGTGGTATACCTTGCAACCCACACACACACGCACACTCATGGCCTTGCCATCCAGTCCTTCACCGCCGCCTGGCTATACTGCTTAATGATTTAATTGACTACGCATCCTGTTCGTACCCATAAACAGCCCAACCCGGCTCAGCCCGTCCCTGTCCGTCCCACATACTGCACTGCCATCCGTCCCTCCCCGTCCCAAAACTTTCTCGGTTTGGCTGAGCGGGACCATTGTAAAGTCTCCCGGAGCAGAGCAGCGGACTCAACTCGGGCGCTGCAACTCGTGAATCGGATGAATCATCATCTCAAACGTCAGGCACGCGCGTCTTTCGAATGTTTGACGGGGCGTGGCGGGGCGCGGTGGGGCGCGGCGGGGCGCGGTGGGGCGCGGTGGGTTGCGGCGGGGCCCCGCGGGGTGCGGCGGCCGGAACAGTAGCAGGGCTGACGCCTATTACTCACCGCCCGGCTGGAGACGCTCATCGGATCGTCACGATGTTTCTGTAACGCGGTAACGCTAGGGGCGTGGCCTGGCGTGGCTGGGGCACGGCCAATGGCGCGCCACCCACACCGCTACGCCCCGCCACCGCGCCTCTCTCATTCTTCTCCAAGCCTGCAACAGCCACAGCCACCTCCTCCTCCTCCCAGGGAGATTGCCGATCCGTTTCCGAGGCTGTCAACTCGCCTGACGTCCCCGTGGCGGCGGAGGACGAGAGGATTGTCCCGACGATTTGACAACACAACAGAACCGAAAAAGAAGAAAAAGGGGCAAAGTTTGCGGCTGCATTCTTATATCGCCGCTCCGACCACCGCCGCACCGCTAAACTCGCCCGCCCTCCGCGTACAGAGTGCATTTGCATTATATAAGGGGGGCGTTGTAAACGAAAAATTATTCACAGAGTAACGGCGAGTGAGTGAGTGGGCGCGGCCGATAAGACCATCTCCAAAGAGAGTATACAGTTTTGGTCACGGCTTCACCTCGGCGCGGCACCCGAGTCCGCCGTGCACCGGAAGTTGTATACGCCGCCTAAGCAGTCCCAGGGACTGTTACAACCCGTACGCCATTACAATCGGCCCTAAACTGGAGGGCGGTGGGGGCGGCGCGTGTACAGCTGCCCACAACGGGGCGCTGCCGCCGACATGCCCAGGGAATTAAGAGCAAACGCTCGGCCCGACACTCGAAAGGGCGCGATAGAAACACCCCTCACCCAAACCCTTCCGATAAAACGACTCGCGCGATCCGAATTGTAACCGCCCGCCCGCCTGGCAAAGACAAGATTTCCAGCTTGGTGTTTCATTTCTGTGACATATCCGCCCGCAGAATCACGTTTTCTTCCATTTCAAAACTTCCCGCCCGACCCGAAACACACACCACACACTCAACTAAAACGTTGCGCGAGCTTCAGACTGCGGGGGGACTTTATGATTTACCCGAGTGAGCCGTGGACCGTCTCCTTATCAGCCGCCGGGTCCCCGGGGCACATCATCATGACGCTGGAGTGGACCGGACTGGAGTCAGAGACTGGAGTGCACTGGAGGTGCTAATGCCCCGACGCGGCCCGCTTCCAATACCGCCTTATTGTGTGAGTCCCTCCAGTTTAGTCATCGTCATGGCCTCCTCCCCATCCTGTCCCGCCCCAACCGCGCGCTCTTTCATTCGTCCTTCCGTCCCGACCTTGTCCTTCTCCTCGTGCATTTCAGCTCCTGTCCCTTTGGATGCGAGCGGCCTGTGGAGGTGCCACAAGGTGACCACCGCCACCCCGCCCCCCCTTCCTCAAAAGTCTACAGCCGAGTCCTAGAGGCCACGGCAAAACGATTTGGTTTTCCAGCAATGAGAATGTAGCCTGTCAACCTTCAACGTAGCGCAACATGCTAAAGTGCAATGTTTGTCAAAGGCGAGAAGAGCAAAATAAGGAACGCCGAGGACCTTCCCACTTTGGCTAACGAGTTCGCAGAGCCTTCCAGGAGTTTTCCGCTCTCGTGGCGGGGCGGGGGGCAGGCCTAGGCGGCAGGGGGCAGCGGCCACCACGGCGGAAGCTGTGGTGGATCAGCGTGCCCCCTGGGGGGGAGAAGGGGACCTTGCGTTCAGTTCACCGCAGAGGTGAGCTCAACGGGCCGAAGGAAGAAAGGGCTGAAAGGGGAGGGGGGGACAACGCAGAGGACAGCAGAGGAGGGATGCATTGCGGACCGAGCAGCTGAGACGAGCTGTCTGGACTGTCTGGACACTATGTAAGGGCATTTCTTGACACGCTCGTTCACCACAGGCCTAGCGTTACTACAACTGCTACGTTTCAATGGAAACTAAGCGGTCAATTAGTTGGAGCAACGTGCGGCACAATTACCACTTCCTCTTTTGTAGTTCCTGGCCTGAAACCCAGCCCTGTAGTAAAATCACAAGAAGCTCAACTAGTAAAAGGGAATTGAGGGCGGTAACTCTAACTGCGGGCGTTCAAGGGCATGCCCTGCAGGCGCAAAAAGTTCTCTCTGAGAAAACTTTGATCATCTTTTTGTTCTGTAGAAACGCGCTGTATGACACACCGAAAACCGAGGGCCGGAGACCCAACTTCGACTGGCGATGAAAACAATCTACTTTACTCGCCACACTACACTGCAGAGAGAATTGGAACACGGGTAGGGGCAGCAGGGCAGCAGAGCCGGGCCTGGCATGTCGGGGAGTAGTCTAGAGTACGGTCCCACCCCGTGCCGGGCTCGCCCAGGGCTCACCCACCACCGGGTCAATGCCAATCCCAAACATCCGCCCGGTAAGCCAATTGACTACGCGGCGACACACAAAGCAGCGACAAGCTACTTATGTGTGGGGGCGCACAATCCAATCAGCAGCCGGCCCCGCCACCATGTGGAGCATCGCGCGACATGCGCGCGCGTGTAGTCCTGAGGGGACAACAAAAATTAGACAATAAATTAGAATGAATGGTCAATTTTATTGGCAGTACTAGGATACTGCCTCCCTCGCTGAGGCCGCTTCTTCTCTAAATGCCGAAATTTTTTAGCTAGTCTAAAAAGACCAAGTTTTTGCATCCTTTCAGAGGAAATGGCAGGATAAATTTTGGCATAGAGGAAAGGGGGTGCGGAGTTTTTGGTATGCATGAAAAGGCAAAATTTTGGCATTCAGTCAAAAGAGAGAAAACTTTAGAACGTTACACAATGCCAGATATTTGTGACCCTTCCCAAAATGACAACGATTGGTTTGGTTTTACAGAAGAGGCTGTCGCGGGGTTATCTGAAATATCGTCCAGCTCCCACTAATTGAAAGCGCGCGGTACACAGCGAATTCCGACGAAAATCCTCCATCACTATTTACTCACGTGGGCGCGCCGGAAAGTGGCGATTTCCAGAGAAACAGGACTACCGACTCCACCACACCGCGCGAGCAAACAGCTCTAAAGGGAGGCGGCCGGCCGGAGGGTGGGGGTGGAGACACGCGGCAGAAATGAAGAAGTCGACGTCGGGGCGGTGCTAAACAAACTGAGTGTATAGCCCGAACTTCCTCGGCATTGTAGAAGAGTCCTTCTCCTACGGCCGAGCGGGGCAGGCGGGGCAGGCGGGGCGGGGCTATGGACCTGACATCATCATCACCAGCAGCGGGCGGCTGACGAGCCGAGCGCGCAGCCGAGCTGGTCAGGTAGCCGGAAAGGGCCCCCAGGTGCCTCCGGAACCGAGCCGAGCCGGTGCAGCACCGCGGGGCCGCCACCGCCGCCGGGAGCCCCGCCCCGCCCCGCACTCCGCCGCCTCCCCCCGGACCAGAGTCACACAGGCACACCTGGGCTGCAGGAGGGCCCGGCCCGAGCCGGGCACGCCAGCCGTCAGGGCACCAGCCCAGGGCCGTGAGCGGGCAGGCGAGCTTCAGCTCAGGGGGCATAACACCTCTACACGCCCAGAAAGCGTGTGATCATAATCGGAAGATATGAGCGCGGCGGCCAGTGGGGGCGGCGGTGTGAGACCAG